GATACGCACAAAGTTTGAAAACATTTTTAGTCCTTGAGTTTTTTTTTACGTAACCAGTTACGGTGTCCACCTTGATAATCGAACATTGCTTATTTTCTATACACACCTGGGATCTTTAAGGAATACAAAAAACTAATCTGGCTTAATTTTTAAATCAGCTTTTTGTTTGGAAGTGTAAAATATATATATCATTTAATAAAAGTAAACATTGTAAATACAATATTTATGTGTTATTCTACGAGGACAAATCAAAATTTCCCAAACCACCACAGACCTTTAAGCTCCCAGAGGGCAAAGCCATAGGTCAATAAAAAAGACGTACAATGCTCGCAACTATAGCGATCTTTAGATGAAGTTTTAGCGGAAAGTAAAAACAATATATTGTTTTCTTAACTAAGTTACAAATATATATTTCAAGTGTTATTACAAGTATTTGTATTTAATTTCCGTAAAATTAACACTACAAACAATGCTGATAACTTGCAGTGAAACCACCCCCCCCCCCCCCCCCCCGTTTTTGATAAAAAGACACCCTTTAAAACAAATTTTATTTTCAGCTTAAGAACTTAAACAAGTCAACCTCGATAACAAGTCAACTTTGATAAGAAACCATATTTGATCATTTCATTTTCAAGAGTTGTTAGCCTCCGGATTACGTTTGAATATTTATAATGCTTTAAATACCTGCATTCAGTAATCCAAAATGTTGCTTGTGGCAACTATAGTTTCAATTCACAGGGAATCATCTTCAGGCCGTACAAGGCGTCGTTATTCATCTCCGTATATGAAGGTCGTCATTTAATAAATAAGTATATTTGATAACCCCATGAGAGTCTTGTTATCAAGGTTTAGTATTTAGTGAAATTTCATCTCGATTAGTCCATTTTTTGCGTCTCAAGACAATTTTTATACAATGGAATTGATTACTTATAAGCAAAAGCTAGATTCCACGACTTATTTTACGATCAAACACGGCAAGGTTACATTTTATTGTGCACTCTACGATTTGCATTGGCCATGGGGAATTGGTGACACACATTCTAATTGGAGACCTTCACACTGAAACGCCTCTAGATCAGAGGTTGAGTGGCAATAAAATGTACGACTCAAACATCCAACTAGCTGGAGGTTGTCTTTAAAAATGTCTGAGTTTTTTGTAAAATTTGGAAATTGATTAAGTAGCTTAAATTGTCAGATCATTAATTGTAACATTTTTGTCGCAGCTATCCGTTGATTGTTCTTTGCTTAGACGATTAATTCTGTTATTTGTTATTTTTACTTGTTTTTACTTATTTTATCTGTGGATTAATTAAAGAATTTAGGAAGTGTAACCAACTGATGACAACGAGAAAAGTTTTAAGTTTGTTAAATTAAAATAGGCTAAAAAAGCACAAAATGGATTTTTTTTATAAACTTAACATGGGTCTTATGGATTATCATGCTGGTGACGAAATCACAACGAGATATAAACAGAAAATCAAAACAAATGGAATAAATTCCATTCACATGTTTTATTTACAGCGTGGGGTGGAAATAGATAATTCTGTACATTAAATATTTTTGTTCATTTTTTCGACCACTGGACGGCCTCTAGTTTATAATAATGACGGAATAAATGCTTATTTTCAAACGAATAGTCGGTAAAAATTAATCATTTTACAATGGCGATCAATTTAGACCTTAGGGGCTCCTAAGGCTAATCGTAACACTAGGTTAGAGATATTTATTAACAAACTATTTATTTTCTCATAGTCTCAAAAATATGTTTTAAAATACCAAAAACTAAAGTTTACAAACACATGCTTACTCTGTGTATAACATTTATCCACCCCAGAAATATTTACTCTATGTCCGTTTCCTGAAGTGGCAGATCAGCTGGCGTGTCACGTGGGTCGTTACCGCGGGCGCGGGAAAAGCGTCACGTGACCAGAATGTAACTCCCGCCATTACTGCATCCGTCAATGCCACAAGACAGATAGCGATGGCCACAGCCTTCCTGTTATGAGCGTGTAATGACCGTACTATATGAAATGTATTGCTTTTAGTAGGAAATTATCGCTTTTATAGACAAGGGGTGTTGGTTTTATCTACACAAAGAGTGTTTCAATATTTACCTATTAAACTCATAACAGGTGTTTTTATAGCGTTAAATTGATTTAATATTTAAGAAAAATTAATGTTCTTGTAGTAAATAAAAAAATTTAAATTACGCTAAGGGATTTCCAAAATATATATGACGGATAATGGTTTAGGAAGAAATTTTAAAATTATATATTTCGAGTGTGAAAATGGGACAAACAATTTTTTACCCGTAAAAACGCAAAACCCCCTTCACAAACTCTATGCAATACATAATACAATCTATAATACAAATATTAATTGTACCTGTCATATATTGCGCAATCTTATTGCAGAGCGACCTTACACAGTTCAATAAATTTGTGGTTATAGTCGTAAATATTGGTTTAGTTTTAGGACAGTAAAACGTTTTATTTAGGTTATCATGTGTGATTTGGCTGCAGCGTGTGTGGTAGCCGATAGCTGACGAAGCCGAAGAAGAAGAAGAAGAAGAAGAAGAAGAAGATATGGATGAAGGAGTGGTTGAAAAAAGTGACTTTACTCATGAAAGACTGTTGACTGAGTTTCGGATAGGTGAATCGAATGAGTTAAAAAAAATTATATTATACGCAAAATCCTTTGATACTAAACAATCCACAAAGTTGAACACAATTTATCGCATAAACAACCTACCTAGAGTAGATAAAGGCCATACTTACAGGATATTGCACAATAATACCAATCATACACAATATTCAATATTCTGAAGATTGTGCAATAATTTTCAAACCCTTTGTATTCACTCAATATATTGCACAATCTGATTTTCACGTTCAATAAAGTCCACACACGTTCAATAATATTGTGCAATATAAAAAGTTGTGCAATAATATTTACCTTGTCGATTCGATTTATTTATGAATTTGAACGGTTGGTGTTTTTGATATCTGGTAACCTCGAAACGAAAAAAAATGGCCCCGGGTTAAGGTTTTACCATGACACCTAAGTTAATCATTTATATGTGAAAATTACCAAAAATAAATACATAATTAAGAGTGTTGTAGCCTACGTATACCACAAACTGATTTCTTTGAAATTCACAAAATTTACCACGAATGATTTAGAAAAACTTGAGTATTTGTTCGGTATTTTCGCAATCAAGAATAACCTACTATCCACGCCAGGGACCTCTAGCCTCTAGGGGAGGCGAGTACAATAGCATTGTTGCGTGTATTGTTCCCATTGTACTTGACTCCTAAAGGAAAACAACAATGGAAAACAAACTCTACTGTCCTGGGAATCTCAACTCAGAAACCAACAATGAAATACGTCATACGTCATTTGGGCCTACAATTTCTCTACTGAGACATAATTTTTGTCTTCTGATTTTCTGAATGTATGTTGATTTTGTTCTATATATACGTAGGAGGAATTAATTTTACCTATTTGGTATTATTTACAATTACTTATGTTACTGTAAATCAGAAGTGGTTGATATTATTTATATTCTTACAAAGAAAGAATATATCTGCTTTTCTCATTTTAAAATCAAAAGTTATTATGATTATTTCATGTTTAGTTTGGTTTGAGTAAGCTTAAGTCGATTATTTGTATTTTATTTCTTTTATTTTAGGTAGATTTTACAATCCATGTCTTACCACAGACAATGCAAAAATATGACACAAAGGGCAATCAACAGTTAACAAATAAATTGATATAGGTATTTAGTTAAATAGTCACAATCATTTTACATAAACAAGAAAGAATTAACTATTAAACCCTTCTTAATGAATCGGTCATAAACATACGTTAAATTTTCTTTATTATTGTTCTTTTCAAGGTTAATGGAACTAAATAATTAACAAACTTAAAAATATACGCACCAAAACAAACTGTAAAAATTAGCAACCTTACTATGTTTTACCAACTTTTATAGTCGATAAGTGCATTAAGTGTATTAATACATTCAGAATAGAAAGCCGTACCTACTATATTATTTTAAAAAGTAGTATACATATATTATTGGTTTGAGTGGCTATATATAGAACCGTGTGGCAGTGTAAGATTCAAAGACTAAAATAATGTAATTACAGCTGTGTCGTTATAAGACTTCATTACCAAGGAGTCCAATGAATATTTACTTCTCTTTACAAAGGCTTTCTTTGAAAAAAATTCAGTTAAATTGTTCAGGCGGTTTTGGGCGAATAAGTCTATACAATAGTCTAATTACTAATTTTAATTTTATTACGATTTATTTATCATAAAAGGGGGTTTGTCTGTAAATACTTAACAAAATTTTTTTTTTATATTATTAATAACTTAGACTGTAGCTTTTGAAGTGATTTTAAATGTTTAAACTAACAACCTTATTAAAAGCAGTTCTGTGTGTAAACTTTAAAAATGCTAAATAAAGGCATTTTTTACGGTGGTTTAACTCTAGAGCAAAAATGTTTGTATAGGTTAGCTGTTTGGTTTATATAAATCTGTCTGGGGAGTATTTGGTTATTTTCAGCCAAACTCAACTAAATTAAACACAACTTAATTTTTTGTGTTGAAAAATACTTGAATTTTTTCGTTAAATAAGTTTAAGGTAGTTATTTCCTAGTCATCATATCTATAGCTGCTCATAACAATTGCTAATGTTAGACGGTTAGACCTTATTATCATTACAATTTTTGAAAATCTAGACACCGTTATCTTTACTTTGAATAGGCCTAGTTCAAGTTAATACTTTTTTGATGCGGTTTGTATTACATTTTTTTAGGTTAGTAGCAACTTATGTACGTTATTTAAGTTCTTTCAGTTAGAGCTATTTATACCTAAATACCGTAAAAATGTAATCAATTAAAGTCTTAGGAGCATAAACTAATTACCTAAACTAACCAAAAAATTTATAAAATAAATAAACTATTACAAAACTATAAATATGCTACTTAACCTACATTCCTTCTGCGCAGGTCCACACCACACGTGGTCAGAAGAATCAATAAACACTTCTGGAAATATTTCTCAGTTTTCAGGTCAAAGCTACAGATAAACAAAACACTACACCACACTATCAACACTCATTAAACTGTTACTACAGACTTGTTAATATTATCAACAGAAACAAGCTACGACCGGTGAATGCGCACGCAAACGAACAAAACAAACGTATGGACACCAGCTGTTCGATCTGCTGAAACAGCTGTGCAAGTGGACGGTTGTTTGGCGCGCAGACGCCCAGATCTTGGCGGGAGTTTGAACAGCTGATTCATTGTCGATCAGAAATAGTAATCTAATCTATTTGTTAATTTATTAGGTGTGGTTGTTGCTTAATCTATTCTTCCAAGTAATGTGAAGAAATAAAATAAAGAAGTAAATTAATAAGTTTAATATTTGTTTTAGGGAAAGTTTTCAATATTTTAAATTATTTTTTATGATTATTCGTATTTGATTACGTTACTTTATGGAAAATATAAAATTACAAAACATTACAATTTGGGATGGTTATGGATATAATAAGGTATATTTTAGTTTAAATTTGTTATTATAGCTTATAACTTTATAAATTGATTTATGTTTGGTTTTATGTTTTTTATGAATTGACGGTAGGACATAGAGTTGTATAAGTTACATACTATTGCTATTCCTTACTACTTTTAGGCTGAGGTTCGAACGAAATATAATACAATACAGGTAACAAAGCATAGCTGGGAATGAAATCAGTGCAAACAAGTAGGTATTGTTAAATGCACCCGCTGTCTTTATCAGTGTTTTAAATATCGAGTAAAGAGGTGGCTTAGTGTTTTAAGTGACAAGCCGTAGGATACAGTCATTCTTTCAAACCTTGCTTTATTTGAAATGGTTTTCAACACAATACTACAGACTTCAGGCAGGTCCGAAGAGAGTCGCGGTATCATCACATATTTAAAATCCGTTGGTGATTGGCAGGGTTTGAACCCAGGACATCGGATACCAAAGTCATGCTTTCTACCCCTTAACAAGCTCACATCCCATTCCTATACACTAAACCTTAGCACAATCATAGCTTACAGAAACAATAACAAACGGTGTTTACATACCTTCAACGTGTAATTGAATATTACATCACTGTAATTGAGTGAAAATTTAAAAACGTACGTTTTCAGGAAAAGCACTTTGCAAATTTTTTTCCCCTTTTTTCAAAACTTTTATTATTATTTTTATTTCATTAACATTTGAAGTTTCATAAAATGTCCATGGTAACGCAATATCTTTGGTAGTTTCTTTTTAAAAGAGCATCTTAAGTGGAAAAACACAAAATCCTGTCACGACCATAACGGACGTTTAAATGAATATTAAAAATAGTTAATATTATTTTTATAACTATGTTTTGCTATAAACTAATTTACTTTTATGACCATTATACAATAAAAAGGTCACTGAGCTTTTTGTATATTTGGTCTTTCTAGAAAAAAATAAAAAAACTCAAAAAATTGAAAAAAAGCCAATAAAATCTTTTTAAGTTTGTATAACTCTGAAAAAACTTACCTGAGACCCGAAAAATCGTTATATTTGTATAGAGGTGTGCTTCTTTTGTCTATAAAACATTGAAATATGACGATATTTTAATTTTTGAAATTTTTATGATAGAAATCATAAACGTGATGGTCAGGGACAAGCGGTACGGTCGTGAATTGTCTGGAATAATCTAAATCTTTCTAAACAATCCTTCAATTATCCTGTTAGTTATAGTAAAAATATGTGTTTTAATTGAACTAAACTGTTCAATTTACAATTATATTAAAGTTATTGTCACGACCAAACACACTATAATCCATAAGGCTGGATTGGTCGTGAAAAAACCCGCGATGGTCGTGAAACTTTGGTCGTGAAATTACGTGTTATTTGGCTCTGTTCTGGCGGTAGCCCTGCACCTCATGTTCGAGGATACAAAGTGGACTTCTAGGTTAAAATAGCAATTGAAATATCTTATAAACAAAAATTAACACCATGTCCACTTCATCGAATGACTACATACGGTCATGGACACACCAAAATTACAAAAAACACAATCTTTCCTTTATTAATCTTGTAATTCCTCCTTTCAACTCGAAACGACCGGCACTACAATCCTGACGTACACCCCGAACTAGTCTCTAAAACCAACTGACTCCATCGACGCCAGGCTTGCCACTGTCGTGCTTCAAAGTTGAAAATTTTTCCCAAATGGTCGTGACGCCAAATCGAGGGACAGACTTATTTTGTCATGGTAGTCAGTTTGTAATGACAATAAAATTATAATATGCTCCTTTTTTGTAAGTTTAATAACCATTGATCACATAAAAATATGGCATTATATATTTTGGCATGAGTTATTAGTCTAAAAACAGCGTGAAAGTTGGAAAATTTACCCTAGGGACACGTTATGGTCGTGAATTTCGAGACTTTAAAAATACGAAAAAAATACCTAGAACCTATTTAAAACCAAATAAATGTGTGTAACATGTTGCCCCCGTCCCAAAAAATATTAAAACACATAATAATAAACTACAAATCCAGTATCTACGAAATAAAAGGCCAGGGACATGAAAACGTACGTTTTTAAATTTTCACTCAATTCTTGCTTTAGTAAAACTCGAACACAAGTTTAACGTTTTCAACACTTTGCCACAAAACTTAAAAAGTGAAAACCAGTTTGTTGTCTCTTCTTCCTAACTGTAGATAGAAACTCGCAATTAAACACGGAATACGTGTTACCAACAGCTCGAGAGGTTATGTACTGAGGTGAAGAGAGCTAAATGATGAATACTGATGTGGAACTTCCTGTATTTGACACTTAGTAGCTAACTGTCAACTACAGAGTGGAAGACTGCATTCAATGAAGACAACTGCAGACAACAACAGACTACTATAGACAATCAGAGATGAATATGGATAATCAAAGACAAATATAGACAAACTTAAATTATAGAGAATCAGAGAGAGAAAAAGACAATCGAAGATAGCAATGGGTTTGAACTATTATATTCAACATCTATAGACAGTTATAGACAGAAACAGACAATCACACGTGTGTAGACAATTTAGACAACCATTAACAATAAGAGACAACTATAGATAATCACAGATAACTAGAGACAATCGATAGACAACTGAAGACAATCCCAATTATAGACAGCAAACATGTACAGAGTTTAAATAACAGATAATTATAGGCAATACCTATCTCCAAAGAGTGAATTGCCTCACACACACAAACATGAAAAACCAAAAATAACAGTATAGACAGTTATAACTAGAAACAAATAATTATAGTTAGCTATTGACAATAAGAGAAAACAGGCAACTATATTCAATCACAGACAGAATAAGGAACCACAGAAAACCATATGCAATAATTGACGTGGTGAAAAACAACTACAAATTACTATAAATTATCACAGAAACTATAGACTATAACACACAACTATTAAAACCATAGACAACTACCTGCAACTATTGACAATCATGGACAGTTACACCACAGGTTACACACAGTTTATAGTCAATCCCAGACAAACTACACACAACAAATATCTCCAGAGGTGTTCTTACAACTGAGGACGTCCGTAGGTGACTGGCAAATCACATTACCTACTGACATTATTCCTGGCTAACTGTACAGGGTGAGTCGTAATTTTGCAAACTGGTTTCAGATTGAATCTGGTTATTTCTAACACGTTTGTTGTTTGAAGAGTTCAAATACCTGTAATTGAATCTGGATTGCATATAATTATTTATAACTGTGAGTATTTTAGGATAACAATCTCTAAAAAAATTACACATCTTACATATCATAGAAATACAAATAAAAATTTGAGCTTTTCGCATTGTGGAGAACAGTTTGATCCAATCATAAAATGTCATACGATGCTTTTTTTTATTTTTTTTTATTAAATGCCAAAATTTTTTGCTTATGCAAAGTCTTGAGAAATTTCCCGTATACTTTTACTTACAATTTTCCTTTTGTAGGACAATTTTACACCCAATTCCACCTTCTTGAAAAACTCCTCAACTTTTATTTCCCCAAGTTATATGGTGCATTTACAAAAATTTAGACTACTAAAAGAGTTAGGGTTTTATAAAATATGCAGACTTTAAACAAATGTTTTTATAAAAAATTCATATAAAAATATACCTAGGTCTTTGTACAGTATTTACAACGACTCTTCCTCATGTGACCTTCCTATGACCTTGGTACTGGTTGGTCCGTGTTCTGTTGGAACAGCAGTTTAAAGTCTACTGTTCGTGTCAAGTTCATTTGGCCTTACAGCACCCCCGACAGTTGGGCAGTCCACATTCAATGCATCGCCTTAGACACTGGCCATCGTGGAAGAATTTTAAATCTGTAAAAGATTAATAAATTAGGAAATCAAGTCCAATGCAACCAAGTATTGCGAAAAAGTAAAATGGTTGGAAAGAATATTAGTTTTAAGAGAAGGTAACTAAAGTTAACATGTATGTTAGGTTTGTGAAAGTATAAAATGTAAGTGGAAATTGTGTTTTTAGAAGCCAATAAAAATACAGACTACTAATATTCTTACATGACAGATCCAGTGTATATTCTCAATACTCTTTTAAAATTTTGTTTGTTTTTTGTACTCTGATCTTTAGAAAATGACTCTATGTAGGAAAAAATAATTTTTCAAAGTTGTAAAATTTACTCTCAAACAAAATAAAATACTATTAATTGCCACCAGTACCCGCTAACCACACCGATAATGTAAGAGAAATCAAACATGCTCCAGGTTTTACAATTAAATAAGTCTGCTTGACTTTCATCCAAAGTCAATGGTGTATATATTCAATGGTTTTACACCACAACTTTTACTAAAAATTGGGGAACATTTCGTCAAAATTTCTCGTATCATTTCCAATATGCTGAAGAGAGGGTGATTTATCATGAAGTTAAATTTTTACCATAGATTAAACATATTCCCTTATATTAGATCTGTCGTCTTTATGGATCAGCTGATTTGAGGACGAATTTAAAGTTGGTTTAGTCCTAACACGAAACACACACATACAAAATATTTTTAATTTACGATCTTATGGAACGAGAAATATTAAAGCTTAATTGACAATATTGCTTTTTACTAGTACATCAGTTGTCAAAGTTGTTTTTTATCACTACTTGACACCAGGTTTTGCCTTCACACATTTTTTCGAGGTTTTCGAGGCCTTCGTACAGCCTACAGCTGTGAACCACGGCGACGACAAGCAGTGATAACAGAAACTAGCAATTAGAAACGATAAGCGCTACTCCGGTGACGTCACTGCCTTCTAAATTGTTGTAATCAGTGAAATTAGCAGGTATTGAGTCAGCAGTGACGGAAGCGGTGGCACCTCATTTTACGTGGGAATTCCCAGAATTATGATTGTTTCGGTAAATTCGCCTTCAATTTTAAGTAGTTTGATTATATTAAATTGGTGATGCAACTTGACTTTTAGAATTACTTTGTACGAAACATTTTTTACCTGTTGATAAACTAGGAGAGGTTTTTTCAAATGTATTGCCGATTTTAGATACTACTAGTGGATATCTCATCCTTTTCATCTTATCCATAAAATTGAATTGAATTGAATTGAATTTTCGATAAAAGAACCTGTTTGGATTTGTGTTAACTGTCCCCTGAGTCTTAAGCTAGCGGTGGTGTTTTTAAGTGTCTTTCCTCTTTCTTCAATATAGTGAGACAAACATTCAAAAATTGTGATCGTTAAGTATCAAAATGCGAAAAACTAATTTCATATTTTTTAACTGCCACGGAAAATAAAGGAAGTTCTCTAGTTCGGTTTTTGAAACCATAATGGTGGTCTCATTGAGTTGATCATCCTGTATATTAATTACGTTTTGACGTTGGATTGTCGACTAATCCCAACAAGCCCTTTAACAAACGACTTAGTCGTTCAGTGACAAAAAATATACAATTGCTAGATGAAAGTAAAAGTGTGTGTACTTACATGGATCCTCCTTCCTCTGCATGCACCAGAGCGCCCAGCTGTTGACGTAGGTTACCCCATCAGAAGCACAGATCGGGTTCGCTTTGTCTGTCACCTCGGGCATGTTGGTACAAGGGTTGTCCTCGGGGGTGCACGAGCCCTCGTGGAGGATGAAGAGATCTGGCAGAGGAAAGAGTGATAAGTGGTTGGTGTGAGGGATGCAAAGTGAGGAGAGAAGAATGTGTTAAGGGTGCAACAAGAATATAACATGTGGAGTAGTATAATCTGTATTATGGATCCTGTCTCCTGACCCTCTATCAACCTGGGCATTTCCCAATGGTTTAAGGCCTAGGCCAGACTCATGAAGGTGGGTCAGGACAGGAGATAGGTTCCATCATACAGATCCTACCTTTAGCCTGTATGATGGAACATGGCTCCTGACTCTCCATCTACATGTGTCTGGCCATGGCCTTAAACCATAGGAAAGTCCCCAGTTAGATGAAAGGTCATGACTCAGGAAACAGGTTAGATCATACAGACTATATGTAGGATATTGTGGTTTTATTATTAAGGTAGTCATGATGGGAGGTGTGAAGAATTGAGTGAAGGTGGTTGAGGAGACAAGAATTGTGTGAAGGTTGCTGAAGGATAGGAAGACTGACGAGGTAAGTAGAATCTTGTGAGTGAATCGAGGGAGTCAGGATGGAAGGAGGAAATAGAAAGAAGGATAAAATATTTAAGTCAAGAATGAGGGTGAGTTAGGTGGCATATTGTGAATGCAGGTATTGTCCAGGTGACATAAGAGTGTCTTCTTTATTACGAAATGAAATTTATAATATACCCAAAAGAGGTTCAGTAAGTCATTTGTTTTTCCTGATCATCACGGGTTGATAAACCCGTGATAGTAGCCTACTACTATTACGTGATAGTAATTCTTATATATTATACAAATATGTAAGTATAAAAATCACAGATGGGCCATTAAATACAGATTTAAAATTTAAACACAAGCTTTTGAAATTATCATTACTATTTTAATACTTATATGTGGCCAATATCTGCTAGTATCCATTGATTAACGAAATTTCTTCTTCTGTTAAAACAGTTATAACACTATTACACCATTTTGTAAATGTCAAACGACGATTATGGGGCAGATCTCAACCACGGCCTTAAGTTTTCAAATTCAAGCTTTACTCAAGACAAAGGTTCTCTACGTAGAGTGATTTTTATTAAGAAATTTGTAGCCTTCTTTGACCTTGCATTTCCTTCTGGACCTCGGTCATCTGCATGAAACGTATCAAGCAGAACAAGGAATGAGCAGGTACAGAACAAGCTTGAGTAGATAAGCAAATCAGTGGTCCAAAAACACTTACACTTGTCGTTGTTTGTAGCGCAGTCCAGATGGTATCCTGATTTGTAAGTTAGACCATCACTGCCACAGACTTCTCCAGGACACTTCACAAGACCTTTGTCGATGTCCACAGCGGCCTGACAGGCGCGGTGCAACGGGGAGTCACACTCTCCCATGTAGCTGGCATCAACATCTAGGGGGAAATGCTTGTTAGTTATGTAGTTGTTTTATTACAAATTAAATTCACCCTTCAGAATGAGCAAAATACTAATTTCATTTTATTTTCATCTATTAGATAAACCATGCAGTCTAGTACTTCTTAATTATTTATTTTAAAATTTTTGTGTGCATCAGGAAGGAGTAATAATTTTATTTTGCATTAAAAGTGTTTTAATTAATCAGAGAGGTACAAATTATGACACGTTGTTTACTCAAATACGGGATCTATCTAGTATAAAAGCATACTAACTAGGTTTGAAGCATCGCATGATGTACGGGTTGCCATGGGTTACTCCATCTTCTCCACAGACAGGGTTGACCTCGTAGAAGGTCCTGGCTAGGTTGCACATCTCCATTCTGCCTTTCACCCTCTCCTTCACCTCGTCCACAGTACACCCTCCATCGTGGAGGACGTCCACACCTGCACAAGAAATGTGTTAAGACAATGGTCACTATATCATCCCTACATGACCTCGTAGAAGGTCCTGGCTAGGTTGCACAACTCCATTCTGCCTTTCACCCTCTCCATCACCTCGTCAACGGTACACCCTCCGTCGTGGAGGACGTCCACACCTGCACAAGGAATGGGTTAAGACAGTGGTCACTCTATCATCCCCACAGACAGGGTTGACCTCGTAGAAGGTCCTGGCTAGGTTGCACATCTCCATTCTGCCTTTCACCCTCTCCTTCACCTCGTCAACGGTACACCCTCCGTCGTGGAGGACGTCCACACCTGCACAAGGAATGGGTTAAGACAGTGGTCACTCTATCATCCCCACAGACAGGGTTGACCTCGTAGAAGGTCCTGGCTAGGTTGCACATCTCCATTCTGCCTTTCACCCTCTCCTTCACCTCGTCAACGGTACACCCTCCGTCGTGGAGGACGTCCACACCTGCACAAGAAATGTGTTAAGACAGTGGTCACTCTATCATCCCCACAGACAGGGTTGACCTCGTAGAAGGTCCTGGCTAGGTTCCACAGCTCCATTCTGCCTTTCACCCTCTCCTTCACCTCGTCAACGGTACACCCTCCATCGTGGAGGACGTCCACACCTGCACAAGGAATGGTTTAAGACAGTGGTCACTCTATCATCCCCACAGACAGGGTTGACCTCGTAGAAGGTCCTGGCTAGGTTGCACATCTCCATTCTGCCTTTCACCCTCTCCTTCACCTCGTCAACGGTACACCCTCCGTCGTGGAGGACGTCCACACCTGCACAAGAAATGTGTTAAGACAGTGGTCCATCTATCATCCCCAGAGACAGGGTTGACCTCGTAGAAGATCCTGGCTAGGTTCCACAGCTCCATTCTGCCTTTCACCCTCTCCATCACCTCGTCCACGGTACACCCTCCATCGTGGAGGACGTCCACACCTGCACAAGTCACTCTATAATCCCCACAGACAGGGTTGGAAGAAGGTCTTGCATAACCAAAAGACACAAAATAAAAAGAGTTACGATCGCAGTAACTCTTTACTTGAGATTCTTGAGGCAAACCAACATGTTGACAGTTAGAATGTTGACAACCGTCCCATAGTTTTTTTGTTTGCTCACATTGACATATCACCTTCATAAATTCTAGATGGTATAGTCTGTATGATGGAACCTGTCTCTTGATCCTCCGTTTACCTGGGACTTTACCATTGGCCAGCCACCAGGTAGACACAGGGTCAGAGGACAGGTTACATTATACAGAGGCTACAACTTACATTGCCCCATTTTGCGCAGGTCCGAGATGGCCTGCACACTCTGGTACGTCCTTCCATTCGTGCCACACACGGCGTTCTCCCAGGGGGCGTAGTCTATGCCGAAACAGCCTACGGTGGGGTCGATGCATTCCCCGTCGTGGTAAACCTTGATAGCTGCAAAAAGACGAGGTCATCAGTACTTGCAAGTAAACTTTATATAAACATTGTGGAAGAGTTCCTTTATGAATTAGCACAACAGCTGTTTCAGAAGGTCGGGGATGTCTCACCAAGGCCTTGTTATGAGAGGAGGCTAAGACTAATCTCAAACTATTACGGAAGTATCAAACCAAAATTCCACCAGTGCCTAACCAGGTTATGAAGATGTAGAGTTCCTCACCTTTGCCAGCACGATCGTTGTGCAGAGCCAGAGCTTCTGTGTTGGCGTAGGTGACGTTGTCAGTTCCGCAGACAGGGTCCCACACAGGAGCCCACTTGAAGGGGACCTCACAGTCGGGGCAAACACCCTTACTGACTATCTTCACCTCTGGAACATGGCCAAGGGAGTGTTAAGTTAGTTGAAAATTTGGGAATAAAGTTATATATGTCATCAGATTCAGTAGAGGGTAGATATTTGTATAGTCTCTGAACTGCACTTTGATAATTATGTTACAATAAATCCCTTGGTTGTGTGCAGATCCAAACAAAGTCATCAGTTTTGGTACACAGACGGCCAAGGTATTTATAGTAATAATATAGGGTTGGAAGAATGAGATAGAACGATTGAAAGAGAGTGTGTTTAAAAAAAGGCATAGCTGACTAGGTCTAGAGAAAATTACTCATGAAATTTAACTTTTAAAATCCTGAGAGAGAACATAACGCAAAGTTTAACAAGTTTGAAATTTAAAAAATCTATTTAATGAATTACAAAATATCGCCAGCCTTTGAGAAACAAATATGCCAACCCCATTTTTTTATATATTTAAATTTCCAAACTAATAGAAGATTATGAAAGATCACCTATACTAAAATAGCCAATATACACTGTGAGAATAAAATTAGTTGTCACAATTCATGACTCTAACAAATATCTTTAAAATAAGGCATATTTTAACGTAAGCTTAAATTTAAGATTTTAACACTTCTAACACGGAAAAAAGCTAGTAAAATGTCTATTATGTCAATACGCTGAGGACGTAATCCTAAAGCTTCACGATTCAATTAATAATTTTAATTGTGATCTAAATGGGTCTATAGGCTTTTAGCACCCGGTATAACTCAAAATAATGCTAAAAAGATCACTTTTTCCAATAAATAAACATTCACATACATTTTTAATATTTGACTCTCGTTCGGACAAACGGTACTTCGAAGAACTATTACTTCGATCAACTCGTCGTATTGGTTAACTGGTAATCTACACCAATTTAATATATGTGAAAGCTTTTATTTGGACAAGTCGAAAAACTCTCACTTCCATTAACTGGTACCAAAGACAACTCTCGTTCAAACAATTGTCACTTCGATCAACTGTCACTTCGGTCAACTGTCACTTCGGTCAACTGTCACTTCGATCAACTTGTCATGTCGGTCAACTGGTACTCACTATCGCACGCGGCTCTCCAATGGTTCATGCAGGCCAAGTGTACACAGTTAGCGTACGTAGTGCCATCACTGCCACAGACCGGACCGTTGAACAACTTATGATCGTTGAACATCGAACAATCATGGTAAAACGCGTCCAACTCCAGCTTATGTGTTTTTTCGTCGGAGGAGCAAGTGTCCTCTGCTGCTGCTAACGCCAGCGTCAATCCTGGAAAATAGTAGAAGGTATATTAAATTACTTTTAAATCACATAGCTGTTTAACCTTAAATGGCGTTTTAACCAATACACATTACCTTGACCAGGTTACCCACGGGCTTCACCCCGTTTGACTTTATAAGTATTAATAAAACTATTAAGGTTAAGTTAAGCTAAAATAAACAAAACTGAATACAGTAATACAAACAAACAATCACCGATAATAAATTGAAAGAATAGGTATCAAAAAATTAGTACAGCTGAAGCATTTTTAACATTAGGTATATGGAAAGTTCCCTTTACAAAGGAATTACGACCTTAAAGGGCAATCTATGAAATAATGGATTGGATTGCGCAAGGTTTCTCGTCATGACGAACATTTTAAGTATATGGTTTATAGGGGTATGACATTTAGTCTTCTCAAAAGTTCATGGGTACTTTGGGATTTATATATGGTTTACATTGAATTCAAATCAAAATATTTCTTAATTCCTCATAAATGTTACATCGTTAGATAAATTTTTGTGTGCAGAAAAAATAATGACCAAATATACTATGAATCATTGAGGTGGTTCACGAGCTCGCGTTTATCGTAACCTTAGTCTAAAATCCGGAAATAACCGGTATTTGCGCCGAGGCTTAAAATATCTGCTTCACGAGCTCAAGTGTTCGTAAGCCTCAGAGTGAACTGATGGACTCCACACAGTTATATGGATAAAACCTGGGTTTAAAAGTTGGCTTCACGAGTCCAATTACAGATAGTAGCAGGCTTAAGTGTGTAAAATTGTAAATATTTCTACTGAGGAATTCTTAAAGCGCTCTAACATACTGTCACATGTCCCATGAGGTGTAACGTTTTAAAACATAAAATGAATAAATATCTGTCTTTACAGATAAAGTTACAACCACATTCTTAGACTTAGATTTAAATTTAAACCTCACCTTTTCCAGATTTCAAAAGTAGGTTAGAAAGGTCAAATTAATAGTGATTCAATCTGCATAGCTCTTAAAAAATATTTAGATAATTACTATAATTATTAAGTTTTTCATTTCATTAATCATCCAGAATGTTTTGTTCAATTTTTTATAAAATTTTAGTTTGATGTTTTGATGGATATAAATCAATATCATACAATAGTATTCTATTTTTTTTATTTAGAATACTAATTAGTATTATATTATAATCATTACTTTAGAAACCTATTTATATTTTAAGTCAATAGATAAAAAATTCAACAACATACCTTTTAACGATAAATTCAATAACTTGATATTGGTGTTTTATTTAACAAAATGTGTTTTCTAATACTCCAAATTTTGTCAAGACTCTTTATTGTAGCTTATTATATGAATTACAAAGACATATATAAGCAAATGTCTACAATACTGTTATTACGATTCTGTAACCGAATATGACCCTATAACTAAATAGCTCAAAAATGTCCTCAACATAATTAACTCATCAGTAAAAACGCTTAAATAAACAATCAGCTGTTAGTTGCATTGATCAGCTGATTCATTTAATTGATTCATTAATGTAAACTTTTGAAGCATATAAGATCCCTTAAAATCGGTATGTTACTATAGTTTTCTAAATCTAAGTTTCATTTTTATGTGTCTATAGTTTTTTCCTTAAACGATGATTGATATTTGGCTGTATCACTTTAAAGATTATTACAACATACGGCCAGAAAAAAATCAAATAACACTACATGTAAAAGCAATTAAATAAAATTATTATACTCGAAAGCAACAATTCTAACCACAAGAGCCAACTTACCTAACACAATCCACATCTTGCCCCTATGTCACACACTGATCGAACTGAGTATATGAAGACGAGGTGGTAAATATATAGAGTATCCATCGAACCAAGGTTCCTAGTTCATGACCCGCAACAACACAAACAATCAACAAACAACTCAGGCATCAGCAATACTTCTCACCCACTCTCTACCGAGAACTCGGCTGCAGAGATGTTTCTAAATGATCTACATTGTTTGATGCTAATATGAAGAGATGAATAGGATTTTTGGAGTGTTTTATAAACATTAGTTTCATTGATTTTTAGGTGATCCGTAACCATTCATAGTAAGATGTTGCGTAGGTCCAGGTTTTGATGTTTGATGCTGTGTTAAAAAACATTACTTTAGAGTAAAATTTTAATGCGATTTATTTTTTTAGAATCAAAATAATATTTCTATCTTTCTGCCTTTCGGTTTTCCCCGCGGATCTCGATTCTTATTCATTGTGTTTAAAAAAAACAACTCGTTTGAACCATATTTTCTAATTATCTTCTAAAAACTTTTGGATAAAATATTTATTGCAATGTTATTCCCAAATTGTAAACAATAACCAGTATAAACACGTTTTTTAAGGATATATATATGGAACACTTTTTAAGTGAATCAAACTTTCTAGGAAAATGTATTATTAAAATTCTTTTAAATTAATTTAATATTTCCATCTGCAGAGAAAGAGAAGGACAATTGAACGGACGGTCCATCCCTTAGGCAATCTTTGTTCTTTATGCACATTCCTTCAACAGCTATTAAAGATAATGTAATTTCCGACGAAGCTTGAAGCATTCCGTGATACAAAAATATAATTAAATTGTAAAGTGAAATACATACTCTTATTTTACAAACACCGATAAACAAAGTGGTGGTACATTTCTTAATGTCAGAATGATTTTTTTGAATTTATTTATTATATAATATATTTTGTTTACCCCGTATAGTCTACCAGAATAAAAGACATATTTTGTTTTAGTCCCCATTGTTATAGACCGAACCTACTCCCTTATACATTCATAATATTTACGAACCAGTTTAAGAGAGTCCCCAAGTTTCATTTCTGCCCAGTAAATTTAGGAGAGTTTCAATTTTTACTATTTTTTTTAATTTACCAAAATGTTCTTATCTTGTCGAAAAAAGGGAGGTGTTAAGAACTTGCTATTATCCACTTTCAGCTCATGATCACTTAATTATTTCACAAAGCAATACATTTTATATGTACTTTAGGTTAAATATAAATGCAAGATGTACATAATAATTATCAATGATCTATTTAGCATCGTTACCGACTAACATCAGCTGTTTCTTTGATGTGTCTGTAGAAGACAGCACAAAACAGCTGTAGTCATTGCGGAGCGGCTGTAGTCGTTGGACCAAGGTTTTTTTTTAACAGTAACCAGGTCCATTTAATTTTATTTAAACCTTAATCGTTGACCCAACGACCGAGGAGAGCTGGATCCAATTTTGAACCATCAAAAATCTACTTCTAACCAGCACCCTCTGATAGGCAAACACTATAACAGTCTACTTGCAGTATCCAAAATCAATGGCACATTGGCAGAGGGGGACATTGACCTGAATTGAAGGTAAGGTACAACAACAAGTCAGGTGGGCTTACCCCAACTCCGCGCGGTGGTCAGAAATCTGTCAAAACCGACTGCCCAACTCCGCGCAGTGGTCACTTCGGGTCCCTCGCGGCACATGCCCAACTCCGCGCAGTGGTCAATTTTGGCTCTCACAGCCCTGACGGATGAGAGTTTGTGCTCTAAGTTTGAAATTATGATATATTTTAATCATTTATAAGAAAGGGAAAGTAAAAAGGTATATGCCTACCCAAAACAGGAGACGAAGCTTAAAAACCACTAATATAAGAAGTTTTAAAAAGCCCGTGAGAAAGAGTGACTGTAAATTTATATGTTCCAAAGTCTACAATACTCAATCATTCACATTAGCACTGGGTTTATGAGCTTACTGATAAACTTGAGTACCAAATTCAAAAATGTTAGTCTTGTAAACAACCACAGATTGCTTCAACAAATTGGCTGTAATCTCTGTTTCATAAAACAGTTAGCTCCATACACCTCAAATTGGGGAAAAAATTGGCTGAAATTGGTTTACGAGCATATTTCTTTTACATCTTATTAAAATTGGCAAATTTTACGTCTATGAAGAGGGTTTTCATTGAATCCAGACCCAGGCGAACGTTTTAGCGAATTTCCCATGTACAGGGTGATTGATATAAGTGTGCCAGCCGTTTTATTCGAAAACTATAAGAGATATAAAAAAAAGTTAAATGGTAAGTGCCTTGGATTTTTTATTAAAAAAATGGTAGTCAAGTCAAAAAAATTATTTTAGCCACCATTTTTTCAATATGGCCGCCAACTTTGATTTTTCTTATGGAACACCCTGTATTTTATGATGTATTCTGGTAGAAAATGTAATTTTAAGACGATTTTATTCATGTAATTTTTGTTCATAAACCTAACCGTTTCAAAGATAATAATGGTTAAGTTTTGAAATTTCTGCATGAGAAAGAGTTTCGATAGAGGCCTAAGCAAGCATGCCAGCTGTTTTATTCTAAAACCATTCAAAATTTCACAACTTAAACCATTATTATCTTTGAAACGGTTAGGTTTATGAAAATAATTACAAGAATAAAATCGTCTTAAAATTACATTTTCTACCAGAATACATCATGAAATACAGGGTGTTAACTTTTTTTGATATCTCTTATGGTTTTCGAATAAAACGGCTGGCACACTTATATCAATCACCCTGTATAGGGAATAGGCTATTACCGTAGGTCTCATGGTAAGACCTGGACTCACTGATTGAATTTTTCGTTTTTATTTCCCAAAGGCCGAAAACACCATCCGTTCAAATTCATATATATATATATACCGGTATATATATTTTATGTGGATATATGTAAGTCTGTTAGCACGATAACTCGAGCAAAATGATCTGATTTTCATTAAATTTGGTGTGAACGTGTAAACCGTTTATTCGAACGAGTTCACAAACCAGCACGATTGAACCATGTGAACGGGGGCTTATGTATATATTATGAAAGTATAACGGTTTGAAATTTCTTTTGAAACCACTTTGTAAAGCTTAAAAACAAATAATTCAGTATATCGAAGCGTAAAAGCGCCATAATAGTTACAGAAAAAATGCCAAAGAATTCTTATTTTTAAATTCTCATGTTATTCTTATGGCAAATAAGTAAACTGTTGTAAATTCCTGTAAAAGGAACATATTTTGATTAAATTGTCAAATGCATTTATTTTACACTTAACTATTAACATTTCACACTTTTTACCCTGTCTCAAACACTTTTTGATGGGTCTGTAATTGACGGGTACCTAACCTTATTACAAGTGGCCACCGCGCGGAGTTGGAATCGGCCCTAAAAGTAACCACCGCGCGGAGTTGGGCAGAACCCTTCGGGGGCCATAAAACTTTCCTCGGATTAAATTTGACCACTGCGCGGAGTTGGGCAATCCCCAGTCAGGTACCTCACCTAGACCTAGATGATCTTGAAGACAGCTGACATCAAATGACCTTGCCAGGTCATTGACAGCGACCAGTCTGTCTGTCTGTCTGTTTGTCTGTTTGTCTGTCCGTCTGTATGTCCGTCTGTCTGTCTGTTTGTCTGTCTGTCTGTCTGTCTGACGTATTTTGTTGTTCAACTGCAGCGAAAACTGTTAAATTACACGATAACCACTATAATCTAAAGTTTTAATTTTAATGCGGATAAAAAGGACCAGCAAGAGTTGAAGATTTCTGCGATTTTTCCTAACTTTATTATTCTATGATATTGTTAGCCAAATCATTAAAAATATCAAACTAAAAAATGCCTCCCACAAAACGCATTACAGTAGATATATAAGTTGTACTTAAAATAAAGAAACCCCCTGTAAAGTTTATTTGTAACTTTTGTTTATCAGTTGGATGATTTAACGAGGCCAAGCTGTTGTATATCTTAAATTATTTGAATTTCACATTCATATTTTTAGAACAAAGTACAGTAGTTCTGATTCGTATAAATACAGTATAATGTGTGATTTTATATTTTAGCGAATTTCCCTATAGGGAAGTAGCTATTACCGTAGGTGGCACGGTAAGACCTAGACCCGGGACCGATTTACTTTTTCATTTTGATGTCCCCAGAGGCAAAAACACTATTCGTTCAAATTTTTATATATGTATATATATATATATATAATATATAGACTTATATATATATATATATATATATACGTCCGTGAACGCGATAACTTGAGTAATTTTTGTCCGATTTTGATGAAATTTGGTTTAAAGGTGTAAAGCGGGATAAACTTGAATGAGTTCGCGAACCAGCACGATCGGACCATGGGAACGGGGCTTTACGGGGGGTTTTATGGGGTAAAAATTGGTTTTTCTCACTTTTGACCCTCAAAACACAAAATTTCCCAATTTCTCTTTAGACCTTTTTAAAGAGCTTAAAAAAATAAATAATTTAGTATGTAAAAGTATTTTTGTTCAATCTAATTACTAACCGTAATTAGTAACGGAGAAAATTAAAAAAATTGTAAATTTAAAATTCCCATGTTATTCTTATGGAGAATATTGTCAAATGTTGTAGTTTGCTTGTTTATGAATATATTTTGATCAAACTTGGCAAATTTATTTATTTTGTACTAAGCTATCAATATTTTACTCAAAAACACACTTTATAAGTTTCCTTGTAGCAGCAAACCTAGGTACTCGTTAAACCTAATGTTATTAAAATATATTTATCTGAAAATCAATTCAGACAAATGGAAATTCGCTTAGTCGGCAGGTTTGCTGCGGCGGAGGTATTTGGATTTACCATTGCTAAGTTAAGTCCAGTACTTGTTATGTCTGTAAGCCTTCGAATAATGGCTGGGGGTTTGTAGAATTTTGTTTAAATTCCATTCCGGTCCATCCAAAAATCAGTATTTGTACAGAGTGGACACTCATTAGTTAAGTTCTTCTATGAATCGAACAATTGATTGTTTCAAATTACATTAACTGCCACCATATACAATTATTTTTGTTTCACTTTCTGCTCATTCAATCTAAAAGCATTAAAATGTAAAACCAATGTATAAAAATTACCACCGTGCCAATTGTGACAAAGTGAATAACTTGTTCTAAGAATGCGACGATGCGCAGGCCAGGAAAGTAACCATTGTTGCGATTTGCTAAATCAGCTGATTGTTCAATTCAAATCACAAATCGCCGGTGAGCACTTTTTACAATCAGCTGTTTATAAGCCGTACATGACATTATTCATTGTTGCTTCTGTGTTTAACTTACTACAATGGTTTGATTTCAAAATTCCAGTTCACACTGTTTTGCTTTTTGTTAATATTTTCAAGGCTTAGTGTTTGAGCGCTAACCAAGTCAATTTTATAGTTCTGTACGGTGCACTGTACAGGTCGTGTTTTGTTTACAATTTGTTTCTTGTTATTTCAGTCATTTAAAACCCCCGTTTAACCAAATGAAACTATATAATCATAAACAATAACTTGTCCTCTAGTTATATAACCAAACAGTAAAGCACAAATCAAATTAACTTTAAAATAAAAAATTAACAAATTTCGTTGACACTGCAGTGTCACCGTACATGAACTAGACACGAAAAACGAGCTTCAAAATTTACAACGGGATGAGAAGTCTATTTGTTTTCGTTAGTCTTTGATTCTAGTTTCAAGATTTATTCTGTCGCTCAATTGATGGAATATAAGAGAATGTATAATTTACAGACTAAACAACAAAAGTAGAATTCTCATCTCATCCCATTGTAAATTTTGAAGCTCGTTTTTCGTGTCTAGTTCGTGTACGGTGACACTGATCGCTGGAGTCGATGAAATTTTGTTTCTATTATTTTACGGGTTACTTCACGAATTATGCTTTACTGTTTGTATAACTAGGAGACGAGTTATTGTTTGATTAGATGTTTTAGCGAATTTACCATAGGGAATAAGCTATTACCATAGATCTCATTAAGAGACCTGGACCCGGGACCGATTTAATTTTTGTTTTGAGGTCCCTAGAGGCCAAATACACCGTTTAAATTCATAAATATGTGTCCATTAGCACGATAACTCTAGCAAAAATCATCCGATTTTGATAAAATTTGCTATAAACGTGTAAACTCACGTTTTTCTCGTTTTTGATCCCCAAACCATTAAATTTCCTTATATTCTGTTTAAACTATTTTGAAAAAATAGAAAAATAATTTAGTATATTAAAAGTATTTTTACCGCAATTGATTACGGAGAAAGTTCACTAAAATGTAAATTTGAAATTCACATGTTATTCTTATGGAGAACAAGTAAACTGTTATAGTTTGCTTGTTTATGGATGTATTTTGATCAAACATGGCAAATATTTTATACTAAACTATTAATATTTACTACACATCATTACCCTTCCTGTAGCAACAAACCTAGGTACTCGTTAAAATTAATGTTATCTAAATAGATTAAATTGGAAATCAAATCACACAATTGTAAATATTTGCTTGACGAGTCCCCCACGTGCGTCGCCCTTGAACACGGAAAACCCAATCTCAAGGGTTAAATATTATAAGTTAAGTTTGGTCCGGCCTAACCTACAATTAATTAGTCCTCAATCGATAGTTGAGTAATAAGCCAATTATCGGCCTCTGTTAAGAGACACGACTCTCGGCTTTACAAACAACTAGTGGCTTGTAGGGGCAATAGCCCCTATATATATATATTCTAGTAAATATTTTGTACAAATTATTAGTCTCATGGGTTACCCTACCTTGAATTATCGTTTAACATTTTTGTATATTATAATATGTATAAAAGTTATTACATACCTGCATAATGCAATTTTTTTATGTCTGTTCTGTTTAAAATATAGATTCCAAAGGACTGTTCATGTAGTGTGTTTATAATACAAACTTTCTAATCATGATATACGTCTAAGGAAGATTTTCAATAATAATCTTTATGACTATTAATTAAATATTTATCAATTCCTTTGAATATAGACAAATTCACTTAAATAAAACACATAGAGATAATGTCATCCTCCAAATTGTATAATGCTAATTATAACAAAATCTCTCTAAAAACAACAGAGTATAGTATCCATTTTAATCGAATCCTTGGTCTTTATTTTGTTCTAGTACTATTTTAACATCATCTGGCAACTTTAACCGGCTAAAAGCTACATAAAGTTGACCATGGGTAAACACGGGTTTTTTTTCAAATAAATGCCAACTTTTTGAAGGTTTGGCCTTGCGCTTTATTTATAGTAATATCGAAAGCTAATCGCAATAGGAATTGAATTCCTAAACTTAAACGGCATATTAGGATCTTTAGATGTTAGTTTTATTTTTGGCATGAAAAATATGTTCCCTTTGCCTACTCCAGTAATTACTTCTAACTTTACACTTTTTTCAGACATACCTAACACAACTAATCTTATTCCATTAACTAATCCAGACCCTGGAAAAAGTCTATATTTCAGTTTATAATAGTATACATATTACAGTACATCAAATCAAATCAAATCAAATCATTTATTTAGCCAAAATTTTAACAAAACGAGTTGCATTAGCTAAGTCACATTATTTTTAAAAGATGCCTTACATAGATCTACAATATATACAAGTATTTACAAAATGGCTTACATTATACTACAAATTGCATCAAAGACTTATAGATCAACATTTACAATGGCATTCCTAGAGCTGATATGATTTATGAATTCCTGGACGCTGTAAGAGGTAAAATTTATCAAAAGAGATTTTAATCGTTTTTTAAATTTTGGAAGGTTTGGTTCTAGCTTAAGAGAAAGTGGGAGAGAATTGAAAAGTTTTATTCCATTGTACTGTAAGTGTCTTTTGAAAAATGTCGTAGAATGTTTAGGTATTGGTAATGTGTGTGAGTTTCGCAAAGTGTAGTGGTTTTTGACAGAAACGTTAAATTGAGCAAGTTCTTGTTTTACAAATGTTAAGGATTCAAGAATATAAATGGATGGAAATGTCAAAATTTTTGAATGAGCAAAATATTTACGGCATGATTTACGCTTCTGCAAAGAGAAAATAGTCCTCATAGCCATTTTTTGAAGTTTAAACAAAATGTTGGTCTGCTGGCACTCACATCCCCAAATAGGAACGGCGTATGCTAAGTGGGGATAAATGAGCCCATAGTATGCAGTCAGCAGTACCTCCAGATTTTCATTGTTCTTGAGGTTACGCAAAACGAAAATACCAGAGCTAAGTTTCTTTGCAATGTGTTTCATATGGCCATGAAAACTAAGTCTCTCGTCCAAGATCAATCCAAGAAACTTGACATTTGGTGTTGGATGAACTTCAGTTTCGTCGAGAAGGAGACTGAATCCATTTGAGCGATTTGATAAGCGGAAGTTAATGAGTTGTGTTTTTTCTGTGTTGATTTTCAATGAGCTGTCGTCAAACCATTGGATTATACTGTTTGCTTCCAAAAAACTAATTTGTTCTAAATTGAGAAAATCAGAGCTAGAAATCGAAAGAGAGGTGTCGTCGGCGAACAATGATAGATTTGAGGATGTTGTGCAGGAAGAAAGGTTGTTAATAAAAATTAGAAAAAGGACTGGTCCCAGGACGGAGCCTTGAGGAACCCCCCTTGCAACAGAATTCTCAGCAGAAGGGTAGGATCTAACA